GGCCCTTCCTATTTGCTGCTGATCTCCCCTAACGAGTTTGTAGGCAGCCACCAAACCCCCCCTCAGCCTCCGCTTGCTGAGGCTGAACAGGTTCAGGTCCCTCAGCCTCTCCTCATAGGGCCTGCCCTGTTGCCCTCCAACCAAGTGGGTGGCCCTCCCCTGGACCCTCTCAAGGCAGGCCACATCCTTCTTAAAGTGCAGTGCCCAGAACTGGATGCAGTACTCCAATTGTTGCCTGACCAATGTTGTGTAGAGGGGGAGTATCACCTCTCTGGACCGGCTTGAGATGCATCTTTGGATGCACGACAAGGTGTGGTTGGCTTTGCTGGCTGCGGTCTGGCATTGGCAGCTCATGTTCATCTTGGAGTCAACAATGACTCCAAGATCCATTTCCACCTCTGTGTTCACAAGGGGGAGCTCCCCAGCCTGTATGTATGCTGTGGATTCCTTCTCCCCAGGTGCAGCACCCTGCATTTATCTACATTGAACCCCATCCTATTACCATCCGCCCACTTCTGTAGTCTGGCTAAATCTAATTGCAGCCTCTCCCTCCCTTTGAGCTTGCCTACCTCTTCCCCACATCTTGGTGTCATCGGCAAACTTGGACAACGTTTTTTCCACCCCCTCGTCCAAGTCACTGATGAAGATGTTGAACAGTGTAGGCCCCAGGACCGGGCACTGGGGGACCCCACTATTCACATCCCGCCAAGTCGAGTACGACCCGTACACCACCACTCTCTGGGTGCGCCCCATCAGCCAGTTTTTCACCTATCCAGCTGTGTAGGCATCAATGCCACAGTCACTCAATTTATTAATGAGAATGGTGGATGATGTCCCATCATCCTTGCTAGTGGTTTTGTGCTTAGATTCAAAGAACACTCAGCCCCACCTGATGCAGGAACCAGATGACTGGAGCTGCTTGTATGAGAGCACAAAATCCCCCCTTCTAGCTACTTGGCCTGCCTTGTCAGTTTCTGAAATATATTAGATCAGATCATCAGCTGGTCTAAAACATCATAGTTTTCCTGAGGTCATTAGGATTATGAAGGGGCCAGATTCTCAGCTAGTGTAAAACGGTGTATTTTTTTTTCATTAAAAGTATTGCAAAGTTTGATCCTTTTTCCACCTTGAATGTATGCTTAAATGCATAGGAAGATTATGTTGTGTGCATTCAAATCCAATAAGTCACACATGTCTATAAAAATTTCAAATATTATTGACAGCAGTTTCCTTTATTTAGGTTGCAGGGTAAGGAACTAGCACTTAGCTAGTAAGTCTCAGAACTGGGCATAAACATCTGCTACAGCTTGGTCAAGTCACTTTACTTTTCTCTGTCCAGTTTATCTGCCTGATAGTAATATCAATACTTAACTAGCTACCTTATGGCTGCATTCCACAAGCAGGCATGTGTGATTTGTAGTGCCACGAACCACTTTGTTGTGCCACAAACCACACATGTTAACCCGTGCGTGGTGCTGTTAATTTGCAGCACAGGTGCAAAATTTGCTGTTGGGATTTCCCAGTAGTAAAAAAACCCTGGAAAAAAAAGCGGTACAAAGCATGCCAAAATAGTGTGCACCAGGACAAACGTGAAGACATCTCCGTGCACTGTGGTGCAGGGTACCTCAGCACCTGGGCTGCCTGCTGGCCAGCCCCACACCGAAGTACCCTGTGCCCCAGCCAACCCCCTTTCCCCCTCCCCCCTGCAGGACATGGAGCCCAGTTGGAGCAGCATGCCAGCAGCTGGGAGGACCTGGGCACAAGCAGTGTGTTCCACAGCAGGACAGTGTGTCCCACAACAAAGCTCACTTGCAGGGGCATGCGCTTCGGCACAAGGTAGAGGCACAAATGTATGCTGCTACTGTTTGTGCTGCTGCAAGCGTGTGTCCCTGCTCATCTGGACTCAGCCTATGAGGGTGCTGTAAGTCTTAATTAATACATGAAAAGTCCTTTGAGATTCTTAATGGAGAAAAGATTTCTCAGACTGAAAAATTATCAAATTATCAAACTGTGTCAAGGATTTTTTCTCTGAATGCTTTCTATAGTGAGGTACTAATTCAGCACACTTTCAGGACCTGATGCTTACATTTAGTCAGGTCAGTGATCTAGCTCCCTTTGATTTTCCTAGTTAAGGATTATTAGATCAGGACATAAGTTTCTGGTCTGCTGTAATGTAAAACTGCCCCAACTTCATTTTGGAAATGCAGGTTAGGACCCCAAAGGCATATACACTTTGTTCCTCAAGGGTAGTAATGTATTTCCTTTTACAATACGATCCACAAACTACATGTTAAAATAAGTAACTGTACTGTCGGCTTCACTGTGTTTAAAATTTTGCCTTTTGCAAATATGACTGTAACAATGAATTTTGGTAACAGGAGATAAAATTTACTAATGTAGCATGAACATAGAGGGTTGCATTGTATTTGCACCTTTTAGGTTATGATACTGGAATGAGTATTTTAGGTGAACTTCATCAGTTGATATGATACTTGCTGCACAAACATGCAGTTTGTTTATGTGATGCATTGTTTGAAAAAAGGCCAAATAACACAGAATGGTTGTTTAGTTTTGATTGCTTTTTAAAACAAGTTAAGGTTGCTTAAAAAAACCTGAATGATCATTGCTGTGTTTACCAAACAAGGCAGCATGCTTCCATTACTGATCAACATCTGCCAGTCACACCAACCTCACCTCATAAACCTGTCTAAAAACTGTGTTTTGCTTTCCGGATAATGCATTAATTAGCAAAGTTTGCAAGGTAATATGGACTTGAGTGACAGCTGTCTATGAGGTGCTAGGTGAACTGGCATTTTTTCAGTGGCCCTGCCATCTTCTAAAAGATTTAGAAATTGAGTCATAAATAGGTTGAAAGCTTCTATGGTTTTTATACAGAGTTTACAGTCATGTAGAAGAAACAAGGAAAACTATTCTTTCTATAATTCCAGACAGAAAGTAACTATTCATTGTGTCCATTAGCAGAAATTATGTTTAAATAGATATTGAGCGTGGGATCATTTTTTTAAAAGAATGGATATTTCACTCTGACACACATGCTGGGTTTTTTGAAAGAGCTTTGTGTGTGGGTGTGTGGGGTTCTCTCAAAGGCTGTCTAGAGCTCATTGATGACAGTTACAGGCCCCAATTCTGGGTGCGCTTATTTCCTATAAACTCAGACCTGCAGACAGGCATTTTATGGTTTCCTCTGGCTATTTGTGCAGAATGACTATGGTTACTGTTTAGTACAAAACAATTCCTGTTGTAGTCACCTAACCTATAACACCTAACCTAATGACCATAGCATCGTGCTAAGGTGTTAGTACTGTGTTAGTTTAGGGGTTTCTAGCCTTTCCCTTAAACTCCTAATTTCATATTTTTATAACTCATTCTTTAAAGTGGTGCTTCAGGCTGAAACTTGCATAGAAGTTTTCAGCACTAGAATAAATTAAAACCTTTCTTTTTAATATGCAGGTTCAGAAGTAATGAACCTTTTTTATAATAATTAAAACAAATGTGTGCTACTATTATGGGGCTTCTGTCATTTGGAAGCTGCATTGTTTTGTTTTGAATTCATTTGTGCAGACTTTTAATGCCTACTTTGTGTAAGATTTTATGCATCTCAACCAAACTGTATGCATTTTGTTGTGGTACGTTTCCTTCCAAATTGTTCCTTTTTCTCTTCCTTTGTTTAATGGCTATGTTTACTGCTAGGGTAACATCAAGGGGGAGAAAACTAAAGAAAATTGTTAACAAAGACATTCACACTGTATTTTCAGAATGGATTAGTATCTATTGCCATAATGCCAGAGTTTACAGTTATGTGTGGTTTAATATCTTTAGATGTGAATCCATTCTAGAACTGCCAAAGACTAATAACAAACAACAAG